AAAAAAAAAAAAAAAAAAATTTTTTTTTTTTTTTTTGAATTATATTCATTGATGAACAGATGATGATGTTCGGGGACAGAAAAATAATATTTAAAGCCCATTACAAATAATTGGATTATGTAAGTATTAACAATTTGTTATTATCATTTTTTTAAGAAAAAAGCAGCTGATTATGCAACAACAAAAAATTTCAGATTCGGTAAAAAAAGAATCTTTCAAAAAAAAACACAATTTTATAACCAAATAAAAAAATGATGTGTAACAATTTATATACTCTTTTAATCCATGAATGATTGGAAAAAAAAAAACGATGACCGAATATAAATATAAATGTAAATGTAAAACAACAACAATAATAATAACGATAATATAATGATAAATAATGATAAATATATAATAAAGTAATAAAGTAATAAAGTAATAAAATAATAAAATAATAAAATAATAAAATAATAAAATAATAAAATAATAAAATAATAAATTTTAATTTTAATCAAAACTACTAAAAGTTCATTCGTTGCAATGTACATTAAAATATTAATATTTAAACCAGATTCTTTTCCAATTGAATCCCGTTTAACTAACAGTATATGGAAATGAGTATGATATAGATTAGAAGAAAACACGATTATCCGTAAATTATTCTTTTATAGCATGAATGCTCGAATAATAAATTAGTGCATGATTTGTTGCTTATACAAACGCGGATTTTGTGTGGATTCACGTTATTGTAATTAGTTATTTTATAAATCCCGATATATATTACATATATATATATGTATATATGATAAATATATATATATAAATATTTTATATACTGTATTATCATCCTAATTATAATATATATAATAAAACATTTTTTTCTTTTTTTAAAATAAACACGTAATTGATATGATTGTTCTTACCAAAAAATTCCTTTAAGCCAAAGAACCGGAATTGGTACTCCGTTAGATGAACGATTGAAAAAAAAAAATATGCATCATTAAGTCATATAACACTTCTTTCAAACCAAATGAGTAATAACAAGTTTTTTTTTTTCTTCTTTTTTTTCTTTTTTTTACTTGCATCTTTACTTGGTTTTTCCAATAATTCAATTTGTTTCATGAACACGGACCAATTTTTGTTTATTTATTTATTTATTTATAAACAAAGTTATTATATTTTTATTATTTTTTATTATTATCATAATAATAATAAATATTTTTAGCTTTAAAAGTGCACATTCGAATAAATTAGTAAATTCCGCTTGAAATCTTTTTTATAACACAAAATAAATTAAATAAATTAAAATGATTGTCAAGATTTTCCTTTTTTATTTGAAGAAAAAAGGTTAAAAAAAAAAATCACGATGAAAAAAAAAAAAAAATTTTTTTTTAGTTTTTTTTTTTTTCTAAATTTAATAACCCCGAAGATATTTGTTTCCTCCCACCATCAGGAATTAAGAGTGAGAAAAAATAATCAATAATCAATAATCAATCTTACACAAAAAAAAAACAAAGCCGTTTATTATTAAGGAGAAGAACGTTATAATTGATGAATGCATCGTTTGCATTATGTAAGTTATATAATGACGTTTGAATGAAAAATGCATTTTAATGCAAAAAAGTAAAAGTCTCCTTAAAAAAATAAGCCGAATAAAGCCGTCAACGTGTCAACAATGGTCTATTCATTATCATCAAAGCTTATAAGAACTTTAAAGTTTCTTTCATTATAATAATTCTATTGTTCTCATCATAAACGATTGCATCGGTTTAAAATAAAAAAAAAGACGGAATTTTTAATTCCTCATTAATTTTTGGTTTAATTTTCATTTATCAATTAAATTTTCACAAGTCACGTAATACCCGTTCGTAATAGACAATAAGATACATCATCCAAATTTGTCATTTTTTATTTATTCTTTCAGTTTTGGGAATATATATATATATATATTACTTTATATACTTTATATACTTTATATACTTTATATATATATGTATGTATTTTATGTATATATGTATTTGTCTCTTATACACATCTAGATGTGTATAAGAGACAGTAATACCCGTTCGTAATAGACAATAAGATACATCATCCAAATTTGTCATTTTTTATTTATTCTTTCAGTTTTGGGAATATATATATATATATATTACTTTATATACTTTATATACTTTATATACTTTATATATATATGTATGTATTTTATGTATATATTTAACTTTAACTAAATAAATGATGAAACTCCGGTTCGTTAGAAAATAATTGAAGTTAAAATTCATTAAAGAGCTAATGGAAATAATCAAAAGATTATTTTAAATACTTTTTCTTTATTTTATTATTATGAAAAGAGTATCAAATTTGTACTTTGTGAATGGTGAAAAAAAAAAAAAAATCATCCGTGCCTTTCCACGTGTTCATTAAAAGGTCTGGAACTATGTAAATAAATCCAGGTTTATCGGTTCAACCCCAGGAAATAACCTTTGTCATACGAGAAAAAAAAAAATATTCAAGATTTTGAAGAAATTTAATTTAGGAGAATTTATTTATGGCGGAGAGCATGCGCCAAATGACCATATCTCTCTAAGATCTTGACGTAATTTTGACAGAAATATTTTTTCTTTTTTACCATTATAAATAATTTTATTCTTATATTATTTATCTTTTAGTTATTTCTTACTTGAAGTATTACAACAACAAACAAGTTAATAACATGAATGAAAAATTTATTATTATTATTATTATTATTATTTATGCAAGGGATTAAAATTTTATGGTGCATTATCTTTTATAAGTGGATATATAATATATCTTTTATAAATATTCGAAATTGAAACCAAATGAGATTACAATTAAAGTTTAGTTATTTCGATTTAAAATTGAATAAATGACAAGTTAATTAAATTCATAATGGGTTTATAAAATTTGATTGTAAAGAGGATTCATGGGAAAAAATTTACGAACGAAACATATGACTTAAGCTTGATATTCAGCATACTTTGCATAACAACATAATCTCATTCATATGAGTTTCATCTTGCATTTGATATATATTTAAAATATTTAAAAAATATTTGAATATTGACGAATCCTGATTGATTGGTACGATAAGAATAAAAAAAAAACAGCATCGAATCGAAAATCGAAATTTTTTTATTTGCAAGTCTTTTTTTATTTCTGAAAAAAAATATTACAAATATAGCTTGGATATCAAAAATTATATGTGGAAGATCCGTATCAAAGATCATTTTGTATTGTTGGATGTCAGAAAATTTACATTTTGCATGATATTAATAATAATAAAGTATAGTAAAAGTATAGTAAAAGTATAGTAAAAGTATAGTAAAAGTATAGTAAAGTATAGTAAATGTATAGTAAATGTATAGTAAAGGTATAGTAAAGGTATAGTAAAGGTATAGTAAAGTATAGTAAAGTATAGTAAAGTATTCTCAAATATTCAAAGTAAAAGTATTTAAAAGTATTCCAGGTATTTTTAAATATATTTTAAATATTTTAAGTTCTAATTAATTATTAATTTATTAATTAATTAATAAATTAATAAATTAATAATATAATATTATTGTATATATATATATATATATATATATATATATTATCATTTATACATATTATATTATCATTTATATATATATAATATATAAATTTTGTTACACAGTTAAAAAACCAAATATTACTGCGGTACGGTAGATAAAAAAACGCAAATACGCGTGATATTCAACCCACTTTTGTTACTTATTATCACAATATACCCCTTTATTGTTATATAGATAATGCAAAAAATGTTCTTGTCCACATTATTCATTTCGGATAACACCGTTCTTTAACCCCTGATCATCATCATCATTATTATTTTAACGGTATAAAAAAAAAAAAAAAAAAATTTTTATTTTAGAAACTAATTTAAAGTTTTTTTTTTATTGTTTAACCTAAAATAATTTCGAATATTTCCTATCTTTCAATTTATAACTCGGGAATTGTAATTTAGGAAAATATTGAAAGCAATTCCATATTAGTGAATATTATGCATAAATTTTTTCTCAGGCAATGCCCGTATCATATTTTTCATTCAAATATGAAACGTTTAAAAAGCAGTTGATTACTTTAACAGAACATTAAAATAAAAAAAAGTCTTATTTTGAATAAATAAATGTTAAGAAATTCTAAGCAGTCCGAAACCAATTAAAATTTTCATCTTTTTGCCAAAGATAAGAGGGGGGTTTTTTTCCGCCATATAACATAATTATGCATTATTAAAACAATTGACAATTATCACTTGATCATTTTCTATTGTTGCTATTGTTATGTTCAAAAAAAGTTGAAATTTTTTTAATAGTATCTTCTAAATTAAAGTTTATATATATTCCAAAAATGATTTTATAGTTTAGCCAATGAACTTCCAAATATCGTTACGATTTACTTGTCTTGTACATATTTACTTTTATTGATGTATCACTACAGAGGAGCGCAGTAAAAGTTGGAGTTTATTTGGTCGTGTGGAGTGCATAAAGCACAGGCAATATTTTTATGTATCACAAAAACGATATATTTTTTTTTTCAAGGGATGCTGAATATCGTGAATATCATAGTTAGAATTCTTTTTTTTTTAATCAGTTGGCTCGTGCTGTGCTGAAAATAGTATCATGACTGGAATATTTTTTGTTCACGCGAGATTATAATTTACCCGGTCAAAGGTTTTTTTTTTTTTTTTGACAATTACCAATTATGATATTTTTTTAATGTAGAGCGTAAAAAAAGGCTGGTAATATAACCAAATTAATAGAAATTTTTAACTTTATAATAAATTTTCAACTTGTCAAAAAAAGATTTGATCTTATCTTTTTTGATTATCTTCTTGTTTACAATTGTAATTGTCATCTGACAAACATAAAAAATTTATTTGTTCATATCAAAATCCAATTTAGGTGAATTGATTTTATCTAACTTCGGTATATAGATATTAAAACGTGAAATTATTTTGCACGGACCATTGATAACTTGCATATACTCACGCTGATACTGCTGCGATTTGTAACTTGGTATTAAATTTTATGCATTTGATCTCATTATAGTAAACATGATATAAATAAATTTTCTTCTTAACGCGATTATAACAATGAATTTTTATTTTACATTTTTTACGCGATTCATCAAACATTCAGGCTGTTATTATATATTACTTCTTTAATTCTTTGTAACATCTTCCCCCCTTTAATTATGTTTACTTTACACAACTTTATTTAATAAATTTCTTCGTTTGTAATTGTACTACTTTTATTTTAATTACTTACACAACGAAATTTTCAATCCTTTGTCTTTCATCATTCCTAATTAAGGAATTATTTTCTTTTCAAATGCAAGTAATATAAGAGCTTACAGCCAACAAAGAAAATTTCTTTTTCCTTACGATTGAAGGCTAATTTTTTCAGGTGTTCTTTGCGTCAGCTGATTATTTATTTATTTATTATTATTGTTTTTTTATAGCTAATGATTTTTCCGTTGTATTTCACTTATATAGGAGTGCCCGTGACCCCGTGTTGTGTACGGAATAAAAATTAATTTTAATTAGGTTATACATGGGTTATATATATACTTTTTGTTTTTAAAGTTATTTGAATAATAATCGTAATATTGATATCATTATTCTATTTTTCTTGTTTATTAAATATTTTTGTTTCAAAGCATTGAAAATGTTCATTTGGCTTTAAAAAATTTCTATTTTTTTACAAAATGTAAAAATTTTTGGTAATATTTAACTCAAATAGTCATGAACCAAATTTTGCCATTTATTAAACTTTAAAGTTATTTTGGATCACATTGATAATTACCATATTTATTTATTATTACATTGGGCGTATTATGAAATTTAATTTTAATGATATTTAATTAACACTTTAAAAAAAAAAAAAAAATGTTGTTTACACCGAATTATTGTTTCTTGGCTATTTTAATAACAAGAATAATGGAATTCTTTTTTTCATTATTTATAATTTAATCCAAATATTTTTTTGTTTTTTTTTTAATTAAACAAAATTGGGATTATTGTTATTTCCCTTATCGTGTTTTTTTTTGATTCGTTGATCGTGATTCGGGAACCGACTAAATGGTTAAGTAATGGTTAATGGGAAATTGGCTTTTCGGAATAATTGATTAAAATCCAATATCTTTACTCCGAAGTAAACGCCTTTTTTCTTTTTTTTCTTTTTTTATTCTTTTTTTTTATCTTTTTTTATCTTTAAGGGGTAGTACTCCTTTTTTTTTTCTTTTTTTTCTTTTTTGAGGGAGAAAACCCCTAGATAACATATTTTTATATTATTAAAAAAAAAAGTTCACGGCGTTCTTTATCTCTTTTTTTTTTTTTTTTTTTTTTTTTTTCTTACTGTAAAATTATTAACCATCTTTGAACTTTAAATTATTTTAAAACGTTTCATACTTTATAACAAACGTAAACATATTATAACAAGAAGAACCTTAAAATTTCTCAAATTTTTTAGTAACTTTAAATTAATGAAATTTCTTTAAAACCTTGTTACTTTCTATTATCAATTTTATTATCGATTTTGGACGAACGGTGAAATGACCATTATTTTTTTAGTAATACTGTACTTGTATATCTTAAAAGGATATTCAGTTATCAAAGTTACCGAAGTTACCGAATACATTGAATACAATTTGATTTTTTAAATTATACTAATTATATTTAATAATTGTTAAACTATACTTTTACAGGATAATTGTTTGATCTTTTTATCGACTGTTACTTTACAGGTTAATTGTTAATCTTTCGCGTTCTACACTTTTACGCGTCTGATATATAAGTTTTTTATGTTGGTTAACGTGATGTTTTAAATTCTAGATAAATTAATTGTATTCCAATTTATAATTTGATATTTAATTTTTTAAGTTGAATACTAGTTGAATTAGCAAGAAATTTATATCGAACGTCTTTTTTATTTTCAATCACTAAAATCAATTACGGTATTTAATAATAATTAATTACGGTATTAAAGAAATTTAAATCACAAATTAGAATGTATTTTTATTCATAAGACGTGACATGAACTCTTGAAGTATTTAACCAAAAACACTTAATTTATGTAATTTGATATAACAACGGTGATGGAATCAAAAAAATTCTGTAAAATTTTGACCAGATTCAAGCATAATTTTAAGCATAATGCTGGGTAGAATTACGAATCGTTACTAATAATCACGTGATTCATACCTTCATACTAACTATATATGCTTACTGCCTAATTGTTTTTTATTTTTTAATGTAATAAATAAATAAATATAAAATTTATATAAGGATTTTTTTTTTATTGCTATGGCGATATATCACCGGTCCTCAAATGTCATGTGTTTAGCAAATTTATCATGTGATTTTATTAGTTAAAAATATAGCAATAAATTGTACGAATTAATTAATTAGTTCTTAGCATTATGGTATTAATACATTTTTCTATACATTTTATACATTTTTCTATTAATGTCTTATTATACACTCTAAGTAATTACCCAACAGATTGTTCCACCAAATGTTATAGTTATACTTCTTATTTCTAAATATAATAATAAGGTCAATATAAAGAAACAAAGATGTAAGTAAAAATTGACACCTGATTATTACCTTACAATTCTTTTGATAATGGCCAACTTTCCCACATTTCCTGCAATGTTGTTGATTTCATGTTTTAGGTTTGGGAATTTCAGTGGATGACTTAAATCTTTTGGTACCTAAGGGTCATCCTTTGCCACATCTCTTTTTTGGATTTTACAAGATCGGTACTGAAGGATCAATATTTTCTTTATTGCTTGTTTCATCTTCTTAATGATTAATGTCATCCAATTTATCTAAATCTAATTCTCCATCTTCTGTGAATTCTTGTAACAAGTTGATGAGCTGTTCTGACTTAGAATTAGATTGTAGAGCCTTGTTTAGTGCTTTCTTATACATCCTATGTAATTTTCCATAGATAAGTTTCTGTTCAAGAATTGTTAATTTCTCTTCACAAAATCCATTATTGTTTTGATTAAATAAACAAAAATTTGTATTAGAATCATTAAATTCATCATAATTATAAATGACGTTTTTCTGTATAAATTTATCAGCGACTATAAATGGTTCTTGTGTAACTTTTTTAGCATTTTGTCATTATTATACTATCGAAAAGGAATAAATTGTATATGAAAAAATGCCATTTTTGTCACTAGCATTACCTGAAAGTAATGTCTGCAGATAATTCCATATTGCATAATTAAAAGACACGAATATAAATACCCCAATTCTGTAACAATAAAACATAA